GGGGAGATTTCACGAGCAAACCTCTACAGGGACAAAAGTTCTTGGATTTTAGATCATTGATTCAAGGAGAACAAGATTAGGAGCAACGCAACTTCCTTTGATGTTCCGTTGTCATCAACTATGTTAATGAAACGGCAGGAGTGTGTTGGATATATTAGGATTTTCGAAGTACATATTTGGAGAAAAGAGAAAAAGAGAATACATGTGAACAATAGAGAAATGATGTTGACTGATACGACTAAAAATGAAGACTGATACGACTAAAAATATCGCGCGTGGGGAGTCAGAAAAGACAATTTATTTCTATGGAAATCATCATGTTGATGATGTAAGAAAGCAAGATTCAAGCAAGAACCAAAGTTGGATACTAATCAAAGTACCGACTACAGTGGAAGATGAACGGATAAACAGATTGAACTTGCAGCATGTCAGGCGGATGTAGAGAGAATTCTGAGAATTTCCACTGAGCTGGAGAAGAAAGAGTCAAAGTCAAAAGTCGACAGACTGTTCTCACTTTTTTATAATATATTGCAAGCAACGAGTGAATTGGTTGAAAAAGTAGGATCTCTGATAGATCTGTATACTTCTATATACTGTAAATGCATATACTTAGAAGGCAACAATACCTGGACAGCTAAATCGCAGTCAATTGAACAGGTAGATTGCAGGCGACAGTGGATCGCTTACTTCTAACAAATAGTTCTCCTGTGTCTAGGTATACTTTATAGAAAAACGAAAAACGAAAAACAAAAAGCACCGAACCGATCGGAACTTGCAAACGGTCTTCGTAGCTTAAGTACTAGAGTCTATGTAGAACGTGCTGAAGTTTTTATCAATTCAACGGCATTTCACTGTTTTACAATGGGGAAGTCTACATCACTGAATGTTGTCTCAACGACTGCCAACAAGGCGGGCGGGTCCACACCCAAATCGGTTTCTGTCGCCAAAAAGAGCGAAAAGAAAAGATTGGAAAATGCATCTGCAGTTGATTTACGTCAACCTAAGGATAGGGATCCTAGTGTCAACAATGATTCGGAGATTCAAGAGCTTATTGCATCTCTTCCACCACTGATCGACTTTGGCTTATCTACTCATGAATTGATTGCTATTGGCTACGACTATAATTCAACTAAGATTTCGTTTGGCAACTCCATTTTCAATCAATGGATGGAAAATCATAATGATCGGTGGACCCAAGCGCTCCCAAGGTTTGACAGCCCGTTCAAGGACCTCTACGCTAATTATTCAGTTGAAGTCAGGGTTAACATGCTATTCGCTCAATATGCGAACGATTGGCGGCGGGTGTTGAAATTCCTAATTTCGCTTTTTGACGATGACGCTTTGGGAAATGTGGAAACAAATACAGAATACACATGGGAAGTGAGAGCGATTGCATTGCAAGTTGCCCAGCAGATTCCGTTTTCTTTTTTTGATGTTGGCCTCGTGAACGATTCCAAAGTGCCACAAGAAGATCTTTATTTTTTGAGGGACAATCGGACAAATCCCTCTCTACGTAACGAGACTCCTCTGGTGCAGTTCTGGTTGATGTGCGCTTCCATATTTGATCACCCATGGACGATGCTTTTTGACAAATTTCTCGAGGGATCCCCAATCTCTTGCATTCAAGAAATAAAATTGAAGGTGATTAAGGGATTTCCCAACGACAAAACTAATAAGGTGGATATTCACAAGGGGGTCAAAAAGATATTTGATCCTGACTACAAAGATTCTGAGGAGGAAGATGATCCAATGGGCGACGAGGACACTGGCCTTGTCAATAAGTTCGGCCAACCCAATGGGTGGGACTCTGACAAGACAGTTGACGACAACTCAAACCACAGGAGGAACGACATGGAAATAGACGGCAAACTTGATTCTGGTGAGGATCGCACCCACGACAACGACGATGACAAGGGCGAGGTGGAGGAGGATGACGAGGATACTGACGAATCGACCAAGGATTCTGTCATTCTTGTGGAAAGTACTTACAAGCTTACCGATACTGCAAACAACAAAGACACCAACAACATGGGCCTGAATACGGATGAGGCAGTTTCCGAACTGACCGGTGTTACTGGTGAAGACAAGGACCCTGAATTGGCATCTCCGTCGAGGAAGAAGGGACGGTCCCACAGGGTTTCAGTGGTCGCTCCGTCTACAGAAATGGATGTGGACGGGAGCTCTTTGAGTGAACCCAGTGCTAAACGTACACATTCAGCGTCTGCTTCACAATCAACCACACCAACTGCACCAAAAACGGACACCACTTCCACGACACAAAGCTCTAAGGCCAAACGAAGACTACAACGCAGCTTGACATTGGAAGAACGCCTAGATGGGCTGCGACAAGTCAACTTGGACGGCATGGACGGTCAGGCTATCCTGGTTGAACTGGGAATGGCGTACAGCTATCAAGGTCAACAAGGGGGGAATACGACCCATGCCTCTATCATCTTGAACCATATTCTGGATACGCTGGCAGACGTCCTAAAGAACGCGGAGGAGACGATTCGCTTTCTCCCCTTGTCTGACAGCGCTTACAAGAAGTCTAAGCAGTGGATCCGAACGGAAGCGGATCTTTGACGGCTGATTCCCGATTACCGGAGCTTGTCCAAGTATCTGGACATGTCTTTTGGCAACATGTCATATGCCTCGACTTCCAATAAGCCAGGCAAAAAGAAGCTTTGTACAAGGATGAGAGTGGGTTTTGAGGTTGAGGTGGCGGCAGGAACAATTCGCCAATATCTACACGGCGAATTGCGTCCGCAAGGGTATGGAGCGGGCTGCTATGAATCGGTTCTACAGTTTGGCGATATCGAAAAGATTGGGGCTCTGTGCTTCTATCCACAGGAAATTAACATCAGGGCCATGGAGAAAGAATTAATGCGACACTTTGACTGGAAGACGGTTATTTGCCTGCGGTACGAATGGGTAAACATTCCCTACAACGGCCAAAGCAAGTGGAAAGAACGATCGCCCGGATGCATGATGTGGCACGTTTATGTCAGATCGAGGGACACTAAGCAAGCGGATCGAGAACTACGATTATGGCTGCACCCGTCTACCCCTAAGAAAGATTTCCCATGGTGCGCGGTCACACACTACATTAGCAATTGGAAGGCTGCTCAGAACGGGACAATCAGCGTTAAGGCCGTGGGTCCGGTTAAGGATGAGAATCTCACTATGATTTCAAAGCATAACGACTTCGTGGAACTGACACAGGCCAAATATTGTCCAGTTGAGATTCCAGGGATGTTGAAACAGGCAACTACTAAAGCCTTTGGTCCTCGCACTTGTTTGTCCATGTTTCTTTCCATCAAAGCCCGACCTGTTCACGTGGAGAAGGTGGCAGCTGCGGATGTGAACTCGGATTCCGATTCTGATGATTCCTTGCTGGAGGACATCTCCCATAAGTTCACCAGAGTGACTGTCAAAGGGAAGACAAAGATCAAGAAGCAACCTCCAAAGTCGGCCGTGGCACCGACTCTGGAGCATGACAGTCCGGTTCTCACCCCTGCGCAGCAGCGTCGTGCGAAGGAAGCGGAGAGGAAGAGAAAAATGGACTTGGAGAACAACGTTCCTAGTCCCTTGTTCATCATGGTGCTACCAGGTGAGATGGAAGGGACCTACTTGTTCATCAGTAGGCTGAAATATGCTGCCTTGGCAATGAATGTACTGAATCGACTGGTCCCATTCTTTACGCATCATTTGGGGGAGTTGACGACTACTCAAGCTAATAGGGTGATTGCGAAGTGGCTGTCCATGTCTCTGATCCATACGACACGCCGCAAGGAACTTGTGTGGTGCTTGGAGACTTTACAGGCTCGACCATCGGACCGAACTCTACAAGGCATTGATGAAGCCATCGATTTCCTTGATGGATTTGGGTCTGACCCACTCGACATCGCCGAAGCTAAGCTGGTATTTGATATGGAAATGGCTGATGCAAAAGATATCGATGATGGAGCTACAGTAGCAGGCACCATGGATGAGTTACTTGAGAAGGATAGTCAATTGGAAGCGGCAATCACTGAAATTGAGTTTAAGGAGAATCTTTTGGTTGAAAAGAGCAGCGCTTTGGAAGCTGAACGAATTCTGTCTGAGGCCCTGGCCAACAAACTGGCGGCTCTGCGCCTCCTGCAACAGACTATTTCGAGCCAAGAGGCGCAGCCGGCTGTGCCTCCTCAACCTGCAGCCACGGTTTCCTTTTCCCAGGACAGGTCAGAGCCAGCAGCTTCCGATTCTGCTGCGAAGGAGCCAATTCCGCCGGCTACTCCAGCGCAAGCAGTCAAGTCAAGTCCGCTCACGGCTCCCCTACCAAATTCGCCACCTCGGGCTACTACGGTCATCGCCAACCAATCTCCGCCTCGAGACACCACCGCTGCTGCTCCTCGGAGGGAACTTGTGACTCCGGATTACACAGCAAGGACGCTGTCAACCTCGGACCATAGCAATGCGTTGGACCCAGGCTCTGATCCAGGGTCCTCTACTCCGTCTCTGGCCAGTTCTCAGGTCTCTGACAATCCCTCGGATGGTTCCCCATCCCCGGTCTTCCCCATCTTCCGTCATCCTCAACACTCTCCTCCTTCTGACCGTACTAAGGGTAAACGAAGGAAGAAGAAGCCATTGGCCAGCCGTGGAGCCTCCCGCTCCACGGCAGGGCCATGAGAGGCCCTCGATCGTCTGCCGCTCGGTCACGGCGTGCAGGCAGAAGATCCCGACTAAGTGGCCCCTCGACTGATGTCCCCCATGCATCAGTAGAGGAATTTTTACGTTCTCTTCCCGCCGGCGATTTCTTCGGTGATGATCACAGATGTCACCGTTCTGCACTGACCCGCCTGATTTTCCAAAATGTCAATGGCCTCCCGGCCGTGTCGACAGGGCGGAAACAGTTACAGATTAATCAGTGGCTGAAAGATGAACAAGTGGGAATTGCGTTGTTGGCCGAGACCAACACGCACTGGCCTTCTCTACCTGAAGGTCATAACTGGAACGATAGGATGCGGCAAGTCGGGCCCAAGGGGTACTATTTGGCGACGGCACATAATGAGAATCGCGCCCGGCCAATTGCGTCTTGCTCTCAGTATGGCGGATGCGTCGCCACAGTCTTGAATTCGGTGGCACATCAAGCCAAGTCATGTGGTAGGGACCCGTCCAAGTTGGGAAGGTGGGCGTACGTGCGCCTTTGCGGCAAGAAGTTTGATATGCCATCCTCGGATAACCAAGTCAACGAGGCTGCCGATGCGTCACGTAGCCGGTTCTCTAAAGACTTGGTGGTTATCTCCGCGTACCGGCCAAACCCCTCGGGTAAGGGCAAATCTACGGTATGGGCGCAACACCGCAGCTTCTTCCGCTCTCAAGGCAGACAGCGTGATCCAAGGGAGGCATTTATGGTGGACCTTTTACGTGCGATCACCCAATGGCGCGACAAGGGGTGCGAAGTGATTGTGGGCGTGGATGCTAATGAGGATGTCTCCTCATACCAGGATTCCTCTTTTCGCCAGCGACTTTGTAGCATAGGATAGGAGGAAGCAATCCTACAACGTCACCCAAGTCGAACTGCAGCAACCCAGTATCGCAACAAACGTGGCAGACCCATTGATGGGATTTTCGCAACTTCCAGAGTGGTGATTAAAGCGGGTGGCTACTACAACTTTGATGAATTTTTCGCCTGTGATCATCGCGGTCTGTGGATTGATATTGATTTGGAACGGTCTCTTGGCAGCTATCGACCGGAGAAGACACCATATAAGCCTCGCAAATTAACAATGCTTGACACTGCGGCCGTTCGACGCTATCTCCGGCTAGTTCACCAAGGCTATGACGTGTACTCCATTCCATCGCGGTTGGAGCAGCTTCATAGACAATTAACATTAAACAGTGGGATTATGACTGAGAAAATGGGACGCCAGTATAACTGCTTGCACAAGCAGGCGTACGATATTTGTCAGAAAGCGGAAGCGAGGTGTCAAAGGGTTACAAATGGGGCTGTCCCGTGGTCTCCCCAGATCCAAAACTTTTGGGACCGCCAGTCCCTCTGGAAGCTACTACTGAAGGGAAAGAAGCAACATTGAGTCAGCTCCCGGAAAATCCGCCGCCTTATGAAGAAGACTAAGTTGCCCGACGCGTGGAAGAAGACTACAGTTGAATTGGAGACGGCATTGCGTAATGACAGGAAGGAGTACCTGCATGCCAAGAAAAAACACGCGGTTTCATGGCGCAAGGAGTTCTTGACTGTTCAAGTGAAGAAATCTAAGAAGAAACAATGGACATCGCGCAAGGCTAGGGATCGCTTTTTGAGGTTACGGCGGATGAAGCAACGAGAGGAGGCGAGACGCCGCCGCCGCGCCCAGTCAAAAGGATCTACCGGCGGTTTGCAAGCGATTCAAGTTGAGGAGACGTTACCTACCGGACAAGTGGATCTGCGAACTCTCACCGATCGGAGACAAGTCGAGCAAGGGTGCATGCAGGAAAATCGCGCACAGTATGACCAGACTCGATCGCCCTATAAGACTCCTCCCATGGACGAACCCTTGTATTCAATGTTCACGGGGGCAGAAGCAGAGAGGAACTCCTATGCACTTCTGGAGGGCCGCCTTCCCCTGCCGGATGGGATCGATTCTTACACTCAGTCATTCCTGGAGCAGTGCCGTTTCCATCAAGGGCACTCTATGATCCCGATGGAAGTGTCGCCGGCCGATCATACTTACTTCTGGTCCCGTAATCCAGAGAAAAAGGGCTCCGAACCGCATGGGCTTCATAACGGGCATTTCAAGGCTGGGATTTATTCTCCCATGGTGGCTCAATGCGACGCTCTCTTCCGCCACATACCCTTGACAACTGGGTTTGTCCCTGACAACTGGCGGCATCTGATGAATTTTGCCATTGAAAAGAAGCCGGGCGACTTTTGGCTGACAAAAATGCGTACGATTCAGCTCATGAAATCTGAATCCCAAGCGAACTACAAGAAACTGGGCCGCCTGGCCATGGCCTACGGCAAAGAACATCACCTCTTGGCCGATGGACAGTGCGGGTCTAGAAAACACCATCAAGCGATCGATCTTGCCCTGTCTAAACGCCTTGTGTGGGACCTTCTGATTATCCAGCGCCGCTCTGCGGGTTGGATTTCAAATGACGCAAAGTCGTGTTTTGATCGGGTCGTCCATTGGGTTGCAGTGTTAGCCATGATGCGTCTGGCGATTACTTGGAATGCGTTGCGCATGATGTTTGACACTCTCGCAACGTCCATGCACCGAGTGCGGACAGGCTCTGGTGACTCTGAAGAGAGCTTTCATCCCCCTTCCATGGTACCATTTCAGGGTTGCGGCCAGGGCAACGGAGCGGGCCCGCCCATTTGGGTCTCCGTCAGCTCCGTCATTATCCAGATGATGACCGCGATGAGCTTCGGCTTCAAATGCCTCACCGCGATTGATTCCCAACTGATCACCGCTCAGTGCTTCTGCTTTGTCAACGACATGGATGTGATCAAAGCGGGCAAGCCCGTGGAACAATCTGGCGAGGATATATGCCACTCCGTCCAACAAGCGGCTTCCATGTGGGCTGGAGGCAGTAGTGCTACTGGAGGGGCGATTAATCCAGAAAAGTCCTTTTGGTGGTTGATTGACTTTGTGTGGGACTCCAGAGAGGGCAAATGGAGGTTCCGCCGGACCCACCAACTTCTACCTGATCATCCATTACAAATACCTGGACTGACTGGCGAATTGGAAGCCTTACGCCGTCTGGAGCCGGATGAGGCAGAGAAAACCTTGGGGGTCATGTTGAACCCATTGGAAGATCAACATGCTCACGTCGCCCACCTCAAGAGTATCGCCAAAAAGTGGTCTGAGCAAGTGCGGTCGGGGCATTTACACAAATACGATGTCATTCCCCTTATAAAGACAACAGTGATGAAATCCCTGGAATATCCTATGGTATTAACTACACTGGATGCTGCAACATGGGTGTCAATTATGAGTCCGGTTCTTCAAGTCTGCCTGCCGAAGGCCGGCATATGTAGGAGCTTTCCTCGTGACATGGTTCTTGCCCCTCTCAAATTCCAGGGTCTGGGCATCCCCCATCCGTTTGGTACTCGGGTGTCTAAACATATTGAGGTCCTGCTTCGCCACTTGTCCAACCGAACAAAAACTGGGGCGTATATGGAGGCTGCGGTCCAAGAACACCAACTTGAGACCGGCACCTCCTTTGGACTCTTCCAGCAGGACTATAGCAACATGGCAATTTTGGCGTCAGATACTTGGCTCAAAAGAGTCTGGAAAGAGTTGGAGGACTTGGATATCTATGTTGCTCTTGACTCTCCTGTCCTCCCTCTCCGGTGTGAAGGCGATGCCTTGCTCATTGAGGTATTCATGGAGTTGGAAGTGGATCAGGCCGCTCTAAAGTGGCTCAACTGGTGCCGTATGTTCCTCCAAGTTTGCACCGTCTCTGACATCGTGACGGCCGATGGCCGCAGCATACGAGAGTCATGGGGAACATGACTACGCTCATCGGTCGTCATATCATAAAACTCAAAAATCAAAAACTAAAAGGTAGAAAATATTCTTCCACACGCTTCTCCAAAACAAAACTGTACCAGTCCTACGCGTTTTGTACGTAAAGGAAAACAGGAATTAAATTTAAGCCAACATGAAGGATAGCGTCACCAACCCGCCGGAGAAGGACCCAAATTCGATCATGACTGTAGCTGACCAAGGTCAGGGAGGTCTCAAGGAAAAAACCCGATCAAATTCGACCACTCAGTCGTCGATTGCTCTGACAAAGGATAACCCTGCCATCACGACTCCCAAGCGCAGCAGCAAGCGAACCCCTTCACCAACCGCCGAGGATGGCGTAATGAAAGGTCGCTCGCTCTTCCCTTCTGAAGTGGCCCAAGGCCAGGATGGCCCCACAGCCAAAGCTCGATCGGACTTGACCACTCCTTTGTCGATCGATCTCACCAAGGATAATCCCAATCGCACGACCACCAAGAGCCAACGCAAGCAACCCCCTCCTTCCAAAACCGCCGAGGATGGCGCAGTGCAAGGACGGCCGCTCGTTGCCTACACCAAGAAACTCAAGGTGTCAAAGTTTCACCGGCTCTACAAGAAGGCTTGGAGGAAGGAGGTTTTTGGGAATGAAGCATTCATCACTTGGTCCTAAAGCACAGCGGATCACTCTGGTTGGGCAATATCCAAATGCCCCGGATGGTGGGCGGAAGCTAGTACGGACCAAGCAGATGCTCATTCCTACGACAAAATCGCTGTGTTAATCCTGTCTGGCTTGAAGGTGTACGACCCATCACTTGGTGGTTCGATGCCCAGCTTTGGTCCAGCATGCAGAATCTGTTTTCACTTGGAGACCTCGAAGATGCAGACAACGACAAAGGTTCCTGGTCTCTTTGCGAGTACTTTCTTTGTCTCGCGACACAGTGCCCCACGGTTGTGTTTGATCTGGCAATGGCTCAACGCTTTATCAAAACTGATGAAAAGTCGCCTCGCTTTTGGGAATTCGCGCTCGTGTTCGACCCAACATTAATTGTTCAACGCGCCAAGCCGTTGACGTGGATGTGGCTAGCGGCAGCCGAATTCTTTGCCCATCCTTGGACTGGCCCTGCGATTATTCCTCCCATTGTGGAGGAATTTGAGCGACTAGAACGAGAGTCAAAAATATCCAAAGCTCAGTCCAAGTCTAAGAAGCGCCCTGCATCTACTCCAGAGAACCCAAAAGGTGCGAAGGCCCACGATTCGCGCCCATCTCCCTCTGTCCAGATGCAAACGGAACTGACGCCACCACAGGGTCGGTCCACTCCCTACCAAGAAACTCCACCTTTGGATGCCACTCCTCCTCGCCAACAAGTGGTCATGTCTGACGCTCTTCACGTCATTGCTGGCACCCCAACAGGAACACAGGAAGCCAGTCTTCCAGCTGATGACGTCGCGGTAGCCAACACCCACCGTGGGAGGACCAGTGCGGAACATGGAGCAGAGGAACACAATAGTGCCCCGACCTACAGGGACACTGTTGCCGCTCTCCCCGCTCCCACGGTTCCTCTCACCACCGACGAACGATTGATGCGCCTTCTCGCTGTCCATTGGAATGCATC